CAGGCTGGAAAAGGGGTGATGGATGGCCTCAACTGCAGACAATGGCTAGCCATGCGGGATATGCCTTTGTTCTCGGGTCCTTGTACCCTTTGTCTGACCTGTCCCAGTGACCTGTGAGCTGTACACATGGCAGGGACGCTCTGGCCCTCTGTAAGGGAAGCCCAACACAATTGCTCAGGCAAAGGCCACTGCTGGCTCCCCCTCCCCCTCCTAATTTCCACACAGTCTGGCCAGATGGTGACAGGGTTGAATGTGGATTTGTGCACCATGCAGGACAAGGCTTCCAATCAGCAAACTCATTCCAGGATGACACAGATCAATGGCACAAAGAGATAAGACCTGGGCAATCAAGGCAGGGACTCATTTTTCTCAGGAGGGGAGAGTTAGCCATCAGAATCAGACCAAGGTGGTCATTGAGGGTGTAATTAATTCAGGTCGTCAGAGATTTTTTTTTCCATTAAAATTTGGAGGATGGAGGTAAGAATATTCAACCAGCTAGTGAGATTCAAACTTGTCATTCAAGCATGCCCACAAACTTGTCAGTGTTGAGGTGTGACGGGAACATATGAGGCTTTGGATGTCACCTCTTGGTAACCTTAAGATCTTCCTCTACAAAGCAGGTTGATCATTTTGCCTTGCCTAGGCCCCCGGGGACAAGCGAACTTGAAAACGTTGTCTGTGCAAGCATGAGGAGACCACCCTCCTGTGACTTAAATTCACATCTCACAGGGCCTTGTATTTTGTAATCATTTGTGAATGTCGAAGACTGGCGATCACGTCAGGTACAATTTACCATCCACCCACTCTGTGGCATACAGAGGACATGGTGGCTAAGCCTCACGATGCATTATTCATCTCATTTTACACAGGAGGGAGATTCGGACTCACCCTAATTCATCCAGCTCATGAACAGAGGACCTACCAACAGGCCATCTTCTCTCTGAGTACCTGTCCTCGTCCCCTTGGGCCAAGCTGCCTCAGTGAGAAACGGCCAAGCTCTGAGGTTTTCCCGGAGACCAAGTTCAAGTCTATATGCAGCACAAAGACCTTTCTGCCCAGCGCGCCTGAGCGAGGTCATGTTGCTGTGGACACAAGGACCTCCTTCCTCTACAGATCCATGAGTGCAGCTCTCAGTCACTTCTCAGGGATGTTCTCTTTCCCTCTGAAGTTTTCGTGTAAGAAAACACAGGTGTCTGTCTCCAAACTGTACTCACCAAAGAGCTTGTTCGATGACTGTACCTTTCTCAGTCTCCTAGATTTGAGGCGTGTGTGTGTGTGTGTGTGTGTGTGTGTGTGTGTGTGTGTGTGTGCAAGTGGACTTAGATGTGTCAGCATGTGCTGTGAAGATCATAGAACAGTCTCAATCATCGCTGGAGAAGTCATCTATCTTGTTTTCTGAGATAAGGTCTCTCACTACCTGAGCTCTCTCATTCAGTTAAGCTAACTGACCAGCAGCGAGCTTGAGGGATTCTCTGTCTCCATATCCCCAGAGCTGGGACTGATTACAAGCATTTGCCACCATGCCCAACTTCCCCCATGGATTCTGGGGCTCAAACTCATGTCTGTGTGCTTTTGAAACAAACGCTTTGCTGGCTGAGCCATCCTACCAGTCCTGATCTGTGTTCTTCTCTCCTTCAACCTCCTGTAGTTCCCTACGTAGTTCAGACTCTTCATTTCCATCTGTACAATAGGCTCTCACCTGGTCCTAATTATTCTTGATGTAGGTTGAACGTCCTTTCCTGAACCATATCAGGGACCCTGTCCTTGTCTTTCTCAGAACACCGTCACTTGCTAGCCCTTCTTAATGAACTCTGAACTCTCCATTAAGCATTTAGGAAACCTCTTTTAGACATACACTTGCTGTCTGTTGAGAGCATCCTTCATCCTCCCCATCCCATATACTGATGTGCTATCAGAACCAACTAGTGATAATTCAAATGGGCGGGGTTTCTTTGGTGAGGACACCGCCCCTGGGTGGAGCCTGGCTACCCACCCATCTGCAGGCGGCTGGGTGCACACTGGAGCGTCTCCTGTGACACTGAAACTAGACACTGGGTCACATTCCCTCCCTGCTGGAAACAAGGAGTAGTTCCAGGATTTGGATATTTGAACCCCAGGCAGGATGCGGCAGGGACAGAGGGAGCAAAGCAGGAACCCGAGACAGGGATTGCCCTTCAATGTGGGAACAGAAGCACAAAGAGCAAGTGTGCCACGGCGGGGCACAAGCAGCTGTAAAAAAATGGAACGGGACGGGGGGGGGGGGGGGGGGCGCCAGGCAGCGCCACGCTGCTCAGAAGTTGCTTATGTTGCTGCTTGGTGTGAGTCACAGGTTTTGTTTGTTTGTTTGTTTGTTTGAACTCAGATTAGATTTATTGCAATAAGAGTCTGAGGAGACAATAAAGTGCTTGATGTGCAAGCACGTGGACCTGAGTTCAGTTCCCAGAACCAATATGAAAGGTCAGGGGTGTGGCAACATGTGAGTATAATCCCATCCCTGGGGAGGTAGAGACAGGTAGAGCCCTGGGATTCTCTGGCCAGCCAACCTAGTGGACTTGGTGAGTTCCAGCCAGGGAGAGACACTGCCTTGAAAAACAAAGTGGGCAGTGCCTGAGGAATGAGGTAGCTGAGGTCATAAAACTTAAACTCACGGAGCCCTACAAACACTATGTCCAAATGCCTCAGCTTGGGGTGCCAAGCTGCATGCTTTGTGTGGCAGTCTCCTGTCTGGCATCCAGGAAGCAAGGCAATAATCTGACAGGGGCAAAGCCATCTCTAGCATAACTAAGGCCGTACAAAGCCAGTCTTGTCTGCATGGTGACACCAGCCAGCACTCCACTACCCACAAAGAAGGGGGCGGTTTGCAAAAAACCCTTTTTCCAGAACCGTTGTAAATTAGAGCGTTTCCAAAGACAGGTCAGCCTGGAGGAATTTTCCAGTCGACTTGTCACATAACCAGGGACAAGCTCCCACAGCACACATGCAATGCAGACGACCCCCCCCACACACACACATACACAACTTCCCTGGAGTTTCTGTAACCCCTGTTTATAGTGTGGCTAGAGGGTTGAGTCGGCTGGTGTGGACCTCCTTCAGAGCAATAGCTGGCACACAGCGGGCACTTTACCTACTGTGGACACAGAGAAGTTCTGGTCATTTGTCTCAAACATGCCACAGAGAAGTCTCATATTCCAGGCATTCCAACACCTCTGGTGTCCTCCCACACCCATGCCCATGCATTAACTTCCCAGACAAATTGGCATGAATGTAAAACTAGGGCTTGAGTGAACGTTAGAGAAAATGGAAATGCTAAATGAAGCCTTTTACGTCGTGCCTTCCACGTATATTTATCAGGTCAAAGACCTGGTCATCATTTAGCATCTGTCTTGTTTCTGCTGCCCTTGGAAACCTTTCACACAGCAGAACGTCACATCAACTTGTCCCTGGTGTGTCCTTAATGCCTCCCTCCCAGCTGTTAATTTCTCTTTCTGAAAAAACAACCAGCTTCAGGCTATGGCTTTGGCTTCCTGGGTGATGTGTTTGCTGCACACACGTGATGACCTGAATTTGGATCCTGGCACCTGCGTTCAAGTGTGGTGGCAAGTGTCTCTAAACCTAACCCTGGGAGTGAGGGGAGTAGAGGCAGGAGGATTCCTGGAGTTCATTAGACCAGCCAATCAAGCTGAAATGATGAGCTCCAGGTCCCGTGAGAGACCCTGCCTCAAACACTAAGAAGAAGACCAATGAAGGAAGACATTCAGTCAATTGCTGGTCTCCATGTGCACATACAGGAGAACATAACAACACATGTGTATGCATATGCTCATGTGCATGTGTGCGTGCATGCGCATGCACACACACTCACACGCACATATTACAAAAACAACAACCAGCCTGGATCTCAAGGCTTCTACTAGCAACAAAAGCTAAGCAATAGATAATGACATTTTTGTCTTCATTGTGCCAGCCAGTGTTTACACAGGTGTATATACTCTTATTACCTATTTATGCTTATAATGACTATAGTTTTATTTTTCTATATTGAAAAAGTAAAAACAAATTAGAAAAAAAAGTGGGTAATGTTATAAGGACTTAGATACAGCAGAAACCCCCCCAAAATGGGTATTATTGTAAGTGCATAGACACAGCAGAAACTCCAAAGGCACCCCAAATAAGAGAAGTTTATAAAAACACATGCTAAGATTAAGGTCCCCATGTAGCTCTCTGTCCTTATACTCAGATCCAGTTCACAGGGCATCTCATCCTGGGGCTGTCCATCAAAGTGAGAGCACTCTGTTAAACGCTATTCCACTTTTTCATTTTCTTTAAAGTTTTTTAATTCTCTCTCTCTCTCTCTCTCTCTCTCTCTCTGTGTGTGTGTGTGTGTGTGTGTGTGTGTGTGTGTGTGTGTGTGTGTGTGTGTGTTTGGGAGTATACTGCAATGCATGTGCACGTGCATACATGAAGCACTCACAGAGGCCAGAAGGCAGCAGATTCCCTGGAACTGGAGTTTCGGGCAGTTGTGAGCTGCCATGTGGGTGCTGGGACCTGAATGTGGGTCCTCTGGAAGAGCAGTAAGTGCTCTTAACTGCTGAGCCATCTCTCCGGCACCCCTCCCTTGTATTTTCTTTTAAAAATATTTTTATTAATGATTGTTTCTCATCCCATTTCCCCATTACAGGCTTAGCTTCCTGAGCACAAATACAGTATCTCCAACCCTTCCCTCACAACTTTTCAGCTGCCAACTCAGCATTACTCGCACAGTGGGTATTCAGTAAGCACACTGATGGGCATTCAACACTTCGGCAAAATCAACAGCCCCAGCCCGGTACACACCAGACACTGAAAAACTAGGTCATGTATTTGGCCCAGGCAGCATGGTTCATCTGGACAGGGTCTATGAACAGTGTAAAGCAACCAAACACACAACACACACACACACACACACACACACACACACACACACACACACACACACAGCCTTCTGGGAAAATTACTTTTTTTGCAAAGATGCCAAAGTCTGAGAATGGCTAAAACCTGGGGATTTTCCACAGAGTCATCAAGTGGCTTAAATAATTAGAATGAAGGTTCCCTTGTGAGATCACTACCAGCAAAACAGGAGCAGTTTCTGGGCCAAGGTTAGCCATGCTCATAAAGAGAAATGTCTCACACTAACAGCAAAGAATTCAAGGAAGGAAGAAATCCTGGAGCCTGCAGCCAGCGCAAGGGGCAGACAGAATACTGAGTCCTCCATGGCTGGGCCGAAAGAGAAGGCTCCAGAAAACACAAGTGCTGTGGTGAAGGTGAGTAATCCAGTTTTATAAAAGGCTTCAGTCTATATGGGAGGCATTAGGGGTATTTGTTTTAATAACATTCCAAGTGCAAACCTTCTCTCTGGTGATAGAATTTCTTACCATTTTTATGAAGTCGAAAATGAAAACTAAGTGAAAGCAAAAGAATCTAATTTCCTATAATAAGGTTTTGCTTTTAGTCGCTTATAAATGCAAAAGCGTGGGGCCTTGGACACCAGAAGGCATATGTTGAAATAAGAAAAATAAAATAAAACCTTAGAAACCCACTCATAAATATTGACCTTCTCCTTCTTGCCACCTCCAGCTCCGGTTTAAAACTTCACACCTGTGTGCCTACATGCACACCCCCACACCCCAGAGGAGAGACAACACCACCAGCTTTCAGAGGCTGTGTGAGGCTCACTGTGAGCAGACCTGTTCTCCTGATAGAACACATTTGTTCAATGCATTCATCACCTCTGGGTGAAAGCCCGTGGAATTCGACTCAGTCTTGCCAACACCCCAAACTCAGAAGTGGTGAGGGATCCCACGAGATCCCCAGTGCCCAACTGGAGGCTCAGGGTCTTCAGGGCCTCCCTGAGTAAAGGCTCTGAAAATTACACATAAGATCTGTTGTGTGAGCCTTACCTAGGGAGACAAACGAGATGTCTATACACCCTAGACAGGGGCCAACAGCAGACCAATAGCAGTTTCATCCATCCCCATCTCGCTTGTAGAAGCAATCATGTTAACAAGGATGGCTTTACAGGAGATGGGTGAGGGACTACCTGTAAGGTACCTACAGTACCTTCCTCAGAGGGAAACTACCATTTCCCTCATTCTCCACTGAATGAGCTGTGCCTACTTGCAAGATACCTTCACAATCACAAGGGGACTTTGTTTAGGACACACCCTCATAGGAGGGGGAGGAGGGTCTTTGGTTTCTCACCTGAGAGGCCAGCTGCTCTTCCCACTTGTATGTAATTGCCCTAATTGCACGTGGCCTCAGGCTCTTGAGAGGTGCTAAATACACTGTCTGGGGAGGGTTAACTGAGGGGCTCCCTCTTTGCAGCCATCATCCATGATGGGTGAAGACTTCTTACTGTACTGCTTTGAGTCACCCAGGCTCCCAAAAGCGCACAAGAAACAACTCTTCCATCCATGAAATTTAGAGGGTGGTTGTAACTGCTTAGGAATGCTTTTTTTTAAAATTACCAAATAGGTAACGAAAAATGATCCAAAACCATCTAAATGCTGGATCTAGTTTTGAAAAGTCTGTAACCAGATTGTAGCAGTTACTTTCCTCATCACTGAGAAGCAACGTCACAGAGAGAGGGCTTTACTCTAACGCGTAGTTTAAGGAGATACATTCCACCTTGGCAAAGGAGGCTCAGAGGAAGTACTGGGAGGCTGTCTAGTCATATCACAACTCTTAGGAAGCAGAGAGTGTACAGGAAGTAGGGCAGAACTTTAAAAGTTCAAGGCCTGCCCTCCAGTGATGACAGCCTTCCAGAGCAACATCACCAGCTGGGGACCAAGTGTGCAAACGTGAGTGCACGGGACATTCAGAAGAAGGGACCCAAAGTCACACATGGCAAATATCCCCTATACTGTCTGGCTCTGAAGTCATAAGGGGATTCGATGTGCCAGGGGTTTTTCAATAATTGTCACTGCCTCAATTTCATCCTAGAATCTCACAGTCTCCAAGGGAGGGGTGGAGCAATTTTAAAATCCCCTCTAAGTGATACTTATGTGCAGGCATGGTAGAAAAAACACTTAATGACAGGGATAATTTACTAAAAAGTAGTTATTACTATTCATCTACACATGTATGTAGTGTAGAATCTCACAACAAGAAACAAAATGCCCCTGCTTTATAAAATGATTACGCATTCCATAAAAATATCCTATGTTAATCCTGTTTGCATCCATATTCCACCCGACTATGATTTCATTTACTAAGTGTGAGGCATTTACCAGTGAATGCCGAAAACCTGACCAACATAGAATAAAGTTTTAAGAACCACAAACTAGATACTAAAAGGCTCACATGCTTCCAGGGGTCCATGTTTGTTTGCTAAGATGAATAGCCCCTTTGGTGTAAGCCAACAGGAAGAGACTGATGGGGACATTACATCATGGCTTCAAAGAAACAGACGTGTTACCCAACTTGAATGTCATAAGCCTGTGCCCCAATAAGCCAAGGATCAGTCGCCATCCTCAATAACCAATTAGAAAAACCAAATTAACGGGGAAAAGCAGAAAAAGGAGATTTGTTCATTGTAGCCAGATTAATAAGAGGGACAAAATAATATTCTTGAAAGTAATCCCAATCTAAGTCATACTTCATATGATTTAGTTAACAAGGCAAAACAATACATAGTATATTTTAGAAGACAAAAGCATACTTTGCATCTTTGCCTTTTAAATTACAAGAGGGGTTGTTCATGTGGGCAGTCTCACTTCCTACTGATGGGGGGAGGGGAATAAAGGCTGAAGACGGTTAATTTTATAGGGTTTGTGGTCCCCCATAGCTTATCCTCCTGCCTGAGGCAGCTGGGGTGTGGGGTAAGGACAGTACTTCCCAAGTACACTATGCCTGCTAGTGTTCTGTATTCTTCACTGGCCCAGGCTGCAGTTATACCCCACCCTCGTGGGCAGAGGCAAGGCACTCCAGGCTTGCAGACCATCATTAGGTCTCTGCTGATTGGCCAGTTCTTAAACCTTCTGTAAAGAAAGCATGCATGGTACCCATCACAAAGTCATTGACTCCCTAATTTAAAATGCCAATTTTATTGGGTTGTAAAGTCTACAATATTAAGAATAACTTGTGTTTGTTTTAATTTGATCAGGCAAACCTCTTTCTTTTTTAGTATGTAGTCTAGAAGTAGACAGCATTTCTAGATATGGGGAGATAGCTCAAGGAGTGAAGGACTTGCTTTGCAAGAGTAAGGGCTGAAGTTCAGAGACCCAGAATGCACACAAACACTGGATAGGCATGGATGCCACCTGTAACCACAGAACTCAGGAGGCAGAGAAAAGGGATCCCCAGGCCATGCTAGATAGCTAGACTGCCTGAATCGATAAGCTCTGGGTTCATGTGAAAGACCCTGCCCCAGTATATAAGGTGGAAAATGATGAAGGAAGACAGCCAACATCAAGCTCTTGCCTTACACACACACATACACACACACACACACACACACACACACACACACACACACACACTTATGTATGCATACCACACATACATACATGTGGAAAAAGATTTGATCTGGCTACTAAGGGGAGACCCTGATCTGCTAGAGGTATATTGCAATATGAGTCCTTTGATTGTGGGGGAGGGGAGAGAGATGGAGCAAGCTCAAGGATAGGCCAGCCTCTGCTTTCTTTGTGTATGTGTGTTTATGCACGGGTGTGGGGGGAGTGTGCAAATGGGCGTGTGGAAGCCAGAGGTTGGCACTGCTTGCCTTCCTCAATCGCCTTCCACTCACTGATTTATTTGTTTCCAGACAAGGTCTCTAGCTGGCCTAGATCTTGCTGATTTGGCTAGACTGACTAGCCAGCAAGAGCCAGGGTCCTCTGGTCACTGCCTCCCCAGCACTGGGATTATAGGGCCACACAGCCACACAGGCTTTTCTATGTGGGTTCTAGGAGGACAAACTTAGGTCTCCATGTTTGCACAGCAAACACTCTTGACTGAGCCTTCTCCTCCAGCACTGCGTCTTCCTTGAGTGCGGTTATGGGCAGGGATTTTGTTGCTGTGAGGAAAGTTCTCCCTGATTAATGAGGTTAAAGAGAAGCAGGACAACAAAAGCCCGGGCCCATGGTGGAGTCACAGAGCTCTTGAGTCAACTCTGAACTGTTGACCTTCTGATCTCATGTGATGCACAATGATCACATACTTTATTACTCAACACATCATTACTTGAATATCTATTATGTGTGATCAAAAGAATCTGACTAGTCCACCTGCCAACGGCAGGAGACCAAGTTTCTCCAGGATCTTGGCTTTCTGATCACATCCGTCAGACTCAGGTCTGGCTTGCAAACAAACACAACCTACAGAGGAAAAGAGGAATAAATCAGGAGGCAGCAACCCCAGAGCTAGAGTTCTGGTTCTATCATCACAAGAACTCACTTGAATCTTTTTGAGATACTACCCTTCAGCTGCCAACCTCAAGAGCACCTCATGATCCAAGATAACTATGAGAGCTCCTGCCTTTACATTCACATTCCAAGGCACAGGAAGAGGAGAGCAGAGAAGAGTACATTAGTTACTTATTGCTGTGACAAAATACTACACACACACACACCAACAGACAGACAGATGGACAGAGAGAGAGAGAGAGAGAGAGAGAGAGAGAGAGAGAGAGAGTATTTACAACCAGATCAAGTCCTCTCAAGCACTCCAAAGACTTATACCTTGTTGGCCATTTTGTCATAAAAATCATTGAGAAGTAGAGGTGATGGCTTACAATAGCCAATAAAATAGTGGTTTCTCTACTAAGGAAAAGAGGATGTTAATGGAGAGATAATCTCGGCATATCTGCTTTTAAGGAGGAAAATTAGGGTCTTTCAAGAACCAGATTATACAGGGATTTACTATGGAAATTAGTGTAACTGAATGCAGAGGCCAAGAACTCCCAGCATGCTTTCTTCAAGCTGGAGAATCCAGAAAGCTGATGTCACTGAGCTTATGACTGAAACCCTGAGAACTAGGGAAGCCAGTCTCGTGACAAGGGTTATGATGGTTAACTTTAGCTGTCAACTTGACACAACCTAGAATCATCTGGGAAGAGAGTCTCAATGAAAGGTTATCTACACTAGGTTGGCCTGTTGGCATGTCTATGAGGGATTGTCTTAATTAAGATCATTGATATTGGAAGGTCCAGCCCACTATGGGCAGCACCATTCCCTAGACAAGAGGACTTGAACTCACAGAAGTGAAGAATTAACCTGAGCACAAGCAGGCAAGCAAGGAAGCATGCATACATTCATTATGCTCTTAA